GTCCACGCCACCACGAGGACACCCGCCGTCGGTAGTGGAGAGGGGGGCCAGGTCCACGCCACCACGAGGACACCCGCCGTCGGTAGTGGAGAGGGGGGCCAGGTCCACGCCACCACGAGGCGACGGCCGGCCGGACTTGGCACGCCATCAGCTGTAAAAGCAGCAGCGCCAGCGCCAGCGCCAGCGGCGCGGGGCCCGGCACGGAGCGGAATGCTCCTCAGCCAGTTTTTCAGATACAACTGCGATAGTACTGCATCCGCTTAATCTGAGACAATGGAAGGCGCTCCGGCATTATCTCGGCAAACAGCTCAGGGATGCACCAGCCAACCGACTTGACGGAGGGGCACCCCACTCGGCGGGGGTTTTGCGGGCGGGCTCGTGGGTCGGCCGTCCGCCGGGCGAACGCCGTGGTGTATCAGAGCGATAAGGCTGGAGAAATGTTACATAACCTACAACGACACGCATATAAAGTAACTAAGATGAGACTATCAGCAGTGTTGACGTCAGGCCAACGGCCATGTTTTCAGAGACCCGGGCGAGGCCCCTCACGGACGAGAGCTTGCCAGGGCCTCGCCTGTGGCGAGAGCCCATCATACACAGTTCTCAGAGGCCCGCTGTCCAGAGGTCACGCTTCGGGTCGGCCGGATGCGATCACAGCAGGCTTCAGAGCCCAGCTCCGATTACAGCAGCTTGGCCGGAATATATTGTTATGTTGGGCGGGCTCGATTTAATCTCTAGTAGACCAAAAGCGTGTAACTAAAATGGGGTATATTGATTACAGAAGCATATAGGCATGAAGTCATCCTGACTTCCTACATCGCTTAGGTTATGTTTGATCCGAGTGCACGGCGGCTATAATCCCCGGGAGAGGTAGCAGACTTCGGTAACCGCGACGGTCACTAAAGATGTGCCAACATTGTTATTCACAATGTTGACGAGGACACGCTGCCGTCGTGCATATCAACGACAGCGGAGGGTAGAAGAGCCGGAGTCGGAGTCAAAGAGAACGGAGGGAGAGGAGCCAGCTACGTCGTGGATATCAACGAGAGCTGAGGGTAGAAGGACCGGAGTGGCAGTCAAAGGGAGCGGAGAGAAAGGAGCCAGCTACGTCGTGGACATCAACGAGAGCCGGCTTACCTTCCCCGGCGCCGCCCGGGCCACCACTGACCCACCGCCGACCCCGACCCCAGGCGTGACCTACTTCCCGGCCTGTGATTGGTCGGGTCACGTGACCACGTAGCTTCGGGAACAGACGCGAAAATAAAAGGTCTCCTTACAAAAGAAAAGCAGCCGCTGTTGAGATTTGAACCCAACACGAAATGCAAACACGCTCACAACGCAGGCGCTCTATGCCACTGTGTCACCAAGACGATGACCACGTTGGTAGGTTAGAAGGCAACTTATCACGTACACAACAATATATATATATATATATATATATATATATATATATATATATACATAGGCGCCCGTCATCCGTTGGCGACAGCGAGAGCACGCCGCGTTTGCCGCTGCCAGGCTCCATGTGCGACCCTGCTGTTTATGTTCCGGCTGAATTTGGTTATTCCAAGACTTCCTTGTCCTGACAATTGTATACATATATACATATATATATACATATATATATATATATATATATATATATATATATATATATATATATATATATATATATATATATATTGATGACCAGCGCCCATAACCATACTCATTTACTACGACAACCAACACGAACATCACACGAAACAAATCCTATTCATGGCAGCATTATTATGCTGACGACCCGAAAAAAATAGACCCAGAAATCGCCGGGCCGAGAACACTTCAATCCGTGACCCAGAAAACATGATTTCCTTCCCTTGTTATCCGCGCCGACAGTGGCCAGGCCCCGGCCGTCATATGCAAGAACAAGGCCCGTCACTAAGCCTGACCTCTCACCGCGATCAGGGTCACCACCATCCGGTGACCACTGATCGCGATCAGGGTCACCACCATCCGGTGACCACTGATCGCGGTCGGGGTCACCACCATCCGCCGAGCCCGGCTGGCGCTCGACCCTCGCGTGTGGGCATTGTGTACTGGTCCCAGCCATTGAGCCGGTTCTTATGTAACGGCCTCTAAGCGATGGGAATGGTGGGAATAGAGCGAAACGGGAGAGGAGAGAGAATAGTGTGTGGAAAGACGACCGAACGGGAAGAGTGGGAAGGGATAGAGAACGAGACGGAGAGAGGGCGAAAACTAACGGATGTGACGGAGGGGGGGGGGGGGGGGTGGGGGGTGGAAGCGAAGCCTTCATTTGTCTTCCCTTTGGTGGCTGCTGTGTGCGTCATTGAAAATTCTGTTCGTTAACAACAAACACCAAAAAACAAGGCTCACAGTAATGAATAAATAGGAGATTTATGGTCCAGAACGGACAGATCTGAAGAGCGTAGTTTTGCATGCGATCAAAGTGCTCAGATGGTGCAAAGCATGCACTTAAAGTCTCAGATCATATCAGAGGGGCGCATGCATTTAAATACGGACGTACAAATCACAAAACAAGTTTACAAGCATGACCGGTTCACCGACCACAGTTTTGATTATAGGAAGTGTTCCACATGTTTGTGGGGTTTTGAACTGAAATAGTCATCTGGGAGATCATCTGGTACAGACCACAGCCCTACACTTCTGAAGACCTGAACTCTTCTATTTCCTGAGCTTCACGCCCGCGAAGGTCAGCAGACCTTTTCGGGGAGGCTATTTTAAAGTCACCAAGGCATCCATGACGCCATAATAGCGTTATTCGAATTCTGCCATTCCGTTGGCCATGCGGTCATCAAGGCGAAGACAAATATAATTCTCAAGTCGTTTATATACGACGTTCGTGAGCCCGATTCCCGAATACAGATCCCGTCAATTGGCTCTCAATCAAAGCTGTACATTGTACGATGACGTAATCAAGCAAACATATTGAGAAGCATATTGACGAAACAGAGAAATTGTGTTGTCTGGAGCAACCGATTCTGCCTAAAAGTATGCCAATAGTTATCAGTGAGTGTTTTCATCACATCTGACACTTGTTTCAGTACATTCAGATGTGGTGCATTCCCTTTTAACTGAAATTTAACAACCATCAACTGTGAAATTCGGGGGCGAGGAACCGCGGCCAAGCGACTGCGTCACAAGCAAGTAGCACAATTACATAACAACGAATGATGGCAGCGTTCAGCGGGTAAGGCGACATGAATCCGCAGCCCAAAAGGCCACGTCGGCCGACCATTAAGGCGCACGTCAGTGGTGCAGCGGACCACCCGGGTCCCCGGAGGAATGCAGTAGCTTAATGATCAAGGCAAAGAGGACGTCTTCCATGACCTGGCTTATGTAACGGCCCCTGTTCAGTGTGAACGCGGACGAGTTTTGAATGTCAGCAAGGGCGGCACGGCGCCGGCGCCAGGAGCTCCGCCAAGAACGGTACCGTGGACACCTTTGGAATACTCACGCGCTGGTTGTGAGGGGCTTAAGGAGATCTGTGGGATATTGCGTCGCAACGGTTGACGTTTGGTTACGGTTAGATGAACAATTTAGAACCTGCAAGAAACGCAAGTTAACTTTCTTTACGAAAGACAAACAGTCAATATTAAATAAGTTCGATAGCAGAGGATAAAGAAATCCAAATACTACACTCCTGCAGACAATTAACTCACGTTGCTTCTTTTCCAATTTCATTACAATTCTTTTCTATTCCAATATTCCAACCATGATGCATTTTTACACGCAACTAGTATTATGCTATGATGTTACAGCCTAAGTTCTGCATCGACCAAAAGCAAATAGGCCAGTAGCAGAAAATTAAATAAACAAACCGTCGCACAAGCCATCCAGTGAAAGCTAACAGTAACCGTCGCTGCTCTCCGCCGCCGGCCGCGGCTTTGTGCGTGATCCGATCCGAAGCCATAGCCTCGCGCGAGGGCAGTTACGTAAGGGGAAGCTGCGCCGGTGTTACGCAATGGCTGGCTTCGGCGTCAATGACGCCGCTATCGGCGCGGTAAACACGGCCGGACGGCGGCGATGGCGGCGCGCGCGAGACGAAATGGCAGAGACGCAGCCTCGGGCGCCGCGGACGCCAGCGGACACCGCAAGAGCCAGGTGACGCGACTACCAACGAGCTCGCGCAGAGGGGGCCGCTCGGGGCAGGGGGCATTCACTGATTTGTGACCAGGCGCGCAGCACATACCGGCAATGAGAGCAGACAAAAAGCTGCTGCGCATGCGTATACAGGCGTCGCGATTCGTGGTCACAGACACATCTCCAGGAAACACGAAGGCGGCCGGTCAGCTCCGGTGTAGAGAGCATTCTGATAGCCATCTCATGAACGAAAGCGGCAGGGGAAGATGAAAGTGACGCCATCGCAGTAGGGTGAAACCATGGAAACGTCAAGAATGCCACGATTTACAACTTGAAAAATGGGATAATATATCACCTCAGCATCACATATTTTTCATTTCAGCCCTGTCGTCTCGATCTCTTGCGCAACCGCGTCTATTAACACCTCATGGCCATTTCTGGTGCTTTTGCGAGCACGCGCCCGCTCCCCTCGCTCGACAACGTTTTTTATATCTCATGGGCCTCTCCTCACGAACATACTGACTCGATCGTTCCGATGATTTGTATCTGGCATTTAAACTGACCTTTAAACTGACCAGTCTTCCCTTTCCACCCTTGCCTATACCTCCAGACTGACTTGTCGGCAGCAGTCACCTCTGCCTGACCTCCAGACTGACCCGTCTGCCGCAGTGACCTCTGTCTGGTCTCTACACTGACCTGTCTGCCGCGGCGATCTCTGTCTGACCTCCAGAGCGACTTGTTTGCCGCAGTGACCTCTGTCTGATCTCAAAACTGACCTGTCTGCCGCAGTGACCACTGTCTGACCTCAAAACTGACCCGTCTGCCGCAGTGACCTCTGTCTGGTCTCCACACTGACCTGTCTGCCGCAGTGACCTCTGTCTGACCTCAAAACTGACCTGTCTGCCACGCTGGATGGCCGCCTCAATCACGCGCTTGGCGTCCTGGAAGTACAGTTCGGCGGCGTCTTCCTTGCCGGCGTGCGGCCCCCGGTACATGTCAGGCATTGGCACCACGTGCACCCACTCCTTGGGCTCTGAGGGGCGGCCAGGGCGGGTCAGAGCGGGGCACCGAGAGGGACACGCCTTGACCTTGGTTGGGGTGCTCAGGGAAGCGTCAGAGTACAGGCAGCGTAGTTGTTAATGCTGACTACATATGGGTTCACGACTAATTTTGCACAAACATTGTCCGGCGGTGTACATAGTCTGAGGGCCCTCAAAGAGCTGAAATATATCGATGTCATAAGCCCCTTGGATTATTATGGGAATCCCCAGTCGCTGGGATCCTTGTGCGGTGGACTTAACACAAGTAAAGCGAGAACAGCGGCCTTGGGAGACATAGCTAAACGCGATTTAGGAAGGGCATTAGCCATTTAGCTGGGGTAACTCGATTACGGGAAAATTGTGAGTGGTGAATCGCCTTGTCGCAAATAGTGCGCTTTATAGGTCAGCTCGCGGAATAATAACAACAAATGTGAAAAAGGCGCTTCCATGACAAAAAGGAAGTTGATGTCCTGCCTACAAAGGTAATATACCTGCGGTGGATATTCGGAGAAGCCGCTCGCCGAGAAAATCGGTCGCTCGTAAGCACGTGCAGCCAAGTTTCAAGTGACCCTGCTGTGCATCTCTAAAATATTCAAATAAAAGACACAGTGTCTTCATCAGCGTCGTAAAGCGTCATCTGGTGACATCTCAACACAGAAAGAAAGGCAGCAAAACAAGATGCCGAAAACTGAGAATGAGCTTTCCTTGAAACCTTGAGCCTCGAAACCCAGCGGGGGCAAAGCTTTTGGGATCGATGACGCGAGCTATTTTTCAAATCACTCTTCAGAAGTTTGGGCCAAGCGGAGCTGCCGCACAGCAAACAAGGCGACTGTTGGTACGGGAGTCCGGTACCGGCGAAAGCTTCCGGAAAGAGGTTCTGGAAAAAGGCTCCGCAGAAAGGCACGGTCTGTGCAGCTGTATCGAGAGCAGGAATCACTCAAAGTTCCAAAGCCTGCACAAGCGCCATGATCGCGACACCACTCAGAAAAAAGCTGCCTGTCGCGGGAAGCAAGGGTAATAGCCACGAACCACAACAACGAAGACGTTTCTGGCGGGATGTTTCGACACACCGCGGGAAGTGCGGCATGAAGCAGCCGTCGAGGTTAATCGCGCACGTGGGAAAAGTCTGTCGTGGTGACAGCGGCGACGCCCGGTCATCGAGAAATTCTGGGGAGGTCTGAAGGCGAACAGGTATAAGGATGGGTGCAGAGCCCAGAGTAGTCGAGACGTTCTAGGGAAGGTCAAAGGCCGATAGGTATAAGGATGAGTGGAGACCCCCGGGTAATCGTGAAATTCTGGGGAAACCTGACGGCCAAGAGGAATAGGAATGGGTGAAGACCCCAGCTTAAACATTAAAACTCCGGACAAAAATCGCCAAAAAATGTACGAGATTCTGCCGGAGGGCGTCAAGCAGAGGCGAACGCAGGGCGTCGCATTGGGGGAAGTGACACGACTGAAGCAGAACCACTAAAATCCCTGGCTAGTACACCGGGGGCGTGCTAGGTATCTCCCGTAGTGTAAACCCACATGATATGTTCTCCTTTTAGCTAGGTTTAACTGTCCGCCTGAATTTTGTAATTGTCAAGCTGTACTCACACACATATTAAGGCACGCACGGCACTTGACAAGGAGGAGGCACATGCCTCTGGGGCCACAACGAGCGCACACTCCTGATGACGTTAACTGATAGGATACGTGGAGACGGCCGTCCGCCACGTGTTGGAAGGAGGACACCTGGCTCTCCTTCAAGTCTTTCGTGACGCTCACCGTCAGTCCTCATTTTTTACTTTGCTTTTCATCTTTGTAAGTCGTTGGACAGGAAAACACAAGCGTTTGAGTCACATGCCAACGTTGTGTACCTTTGAGATATGGTTCTAGTATTCAGGTGTGATTTTTGTCTCTAAAATAGTACTTAAAAGAATAATGTGTGTTAACAATTGCAACAATCCAAAACAAGCGACGAAAATAACCAGAAGTTTTAGAAACATGAAGGCAGGATAAGACATCAAATTGCACACAACTCACGACCACCTCAACACGATGATGAGTGGCTTCTGCCGCCAAGCCACTGGTTGGGCGTGTTTGAGCTGCCTTACAGGCCAACGTGAGGTGGGGCTTTCCACTTTCGAGGTGCTCAGGCAGACGGATGGGCCTAATGTCCCATCGCATCAGTATGCAGCGGCGGTATTGACCACCACTGCGTACTGGTACAACCCAGCTCAGCCACCGCTGTATGCTGATGTAACCCGGCTCAGCCACCGTCGCATACAGGTACAACCCAGCTCAGCCACCGCTGTATACTGGTGTAACCCGGCTCAGCCACCGTCGCATACTGGTACAACCCAGCTCAACCACCGCTGTATGCCGGTACAGCCCAACTCAGCCGCCGTCGCATACTGGTACAACCCAGCTCAACCACCGCTGTATGCCGGTACTACCCAGCTCAGCCACCGCTGTATTCTGGTACAACCCAGCTCAGCCACCGCTGCATACTGGTACAACCCAGCTCAGCCACCGTCGCATACTGGTACAACCCAGTTCTGCCATCGCTGTACACTGGTACTACCATCTCAGCTATACCAACAATGGAACGAGCTTGCCTCAGAATAGACAGCCGCAGTCGAAGAGCGTGCAACAGCTATCACAGCTCGTGAAGCAGCGCATCCTTAACGGCGATCCGTGTGAGTTCCGTGCCTTCAGGAAAGGAAGAACAAAACTGTCGTACTGGCGGAACTGTTTTCGGTTAAAGAAATCGTCCTTAGTGGAAGTAGATGCAGTCGACTGCTCATGCTACAAAGACTGAAGAGTTTCCTTCTGGCCGCCACACATTTCAAAGCATGCGTACTTTGATGAAGCGCAGCATATGTGGCGCACATTTCAAATCGTGAGCAGCATGATGAAATGCAATCCTCTGGTGCATATTTCACAGCCGGGTGTAGGTTAATGAAGTGCGGCATATGTGGCGCGCGTCACATCAGACTAGTGTTTCTCCGGACCACTCAGCTACCGTTATCACACGGAGCGTTCGAGCACTTTATGTTGCCCTGCAGACCAGCACGAAGCACTTTATGTTGCCCTGCAGACCAGCACGAAGAGCAAAATCAAGGACAGGAAACGGTGCGACGGCTGAGTGGTGACGGTGACGGCTTTCAAACCAGAATATCTTGGCTTTCACGTCTGCCGTTGGGAACTTTCGTCCCGGTTTTCGCCACAGTGCAAGGAGGACAATGAAGTAAACACTCACGAGCTTCCACAAACAACATGACAAGTGCTATAATGATCCGCAAACAATAACCAAGAGCATCATGGTACATCGAAATGGAGCCCAAACCAGTATACCATAGCTGGCAGCCTGATGCTAGATCCTGTCGGCCGGGAACAAGTCTTATCCCGTTTTTGGTACTATGTTGGTATACCTCCAGAATGCAAATTATTGCCGCTATCAAAATCATTAACACGAATTACGGTTTTGCACTCAGTCGAGTCATCTGATATTCCTGAAAGCTTTACTTTTTATTCTGGAAGCTTTACTCACCCATGGTCACACATCGGTACTAAAACATTCGGTAAACTTTTGAATGATCTATTTCGAGCGATGTTGCCAATAAATCATACCGACAAGAATGCACAACGGCAGTGAATGTTGTCTCACGACACGCTAATCGTTGTTTGCACGCTCGAGTTTTGTAATCCGATTTTCGACGCGTCTCTTGCCTACATGAGATAAAGGGCTAGATATAACTTTTGAGAGTGGATAGAGGAAGTATCCGAAACATTAAACCACGAATATAAAAGTATGACACGTCTTCTAATAAGCTTCTTTTTAAAGGGTCTGGTCGAATTCCAATTTGTCATTTTGCACGTAGGATTGAAGGGCATTGCGATTTACCTGAACTGGTATGACTTGTTTCAACAAGTTCGCTTCCCTTGTGCTCGCAGCGCAAGGTTATCAGATCAACCCAAACGTTTTTCACCACTAATCCGGCGGAAATGTCAGAGGCGTCAGCAAATGACCTTACGATGAGGGAGCTCGTCAGCACTGACAGCAAACTTCGAACATTCCGACTGCGGCCATTGTGCAAACGCGTATCGGTTTGCAGTGAGTATAGAAGTTCTGAGAAGAGGCGTAAGTACCACGGATGAAATCATTGTTTCGACTGTCGTCCTCGTCTGGTGTGTTAGTTTGTGTAAAGTAAAACACCAGACGAGGGCAATAGTCCAAACAATCATCCCATCTGGCACGCATTTGCTAACATCGACTTTGAAGTGCGCGCCGCGCTGGGCCAGAATAATCCCGAACGTCTATTTTTCGTAGTATTTGGCACTGCGAACACGAGCCATTATCGCAGATTCAGAGAAGAATATGCAGATATCGCAGAAGTTGAAACCAAGTTATATTTTAATGGTACTGTAAAACTTTTATTAAAACAATAATATTTTCAATCAACGCAAATCATGGTATCATACTAGAACCGTGACAGCAAGCTGCGAAATTCATAAAATGATGGAAGCTTCCCTAACGAATGGCAATCAAACATATATTGATTTAACTAGCATATGCTTGTGTATATCAAAAAATAATTACAAAATTCTAAGAATGCTTTGCATGTTAAAGCATGCGACAAGTCACGTGACAGGTCATTCAGTTTTTATTCATTACCAGCGGCAGCCAATATCTAATTTAGTTAAAAGTTCTTGAAGTGGATAATATATATTCTTCAACGTTCAAGAAGATGCATTATATGTAGTCAACTTAAAACAGTGGAACATTGATGCAGATAGTGTGTTATGAGGACTTGCCAGCGGGACTAATATCGATGACTTGGTCAAAATATCTGCAGGGTGTTTTTTTTTAAAAAAGAACGACATAACTAGACACGCTCCTTTATTCTAACAAACAATATCAATAGAAACGTTCGATCGATAGACCGAGAAACTTAACCGAAAACTATCAAAACCGCAAAATGTTGTTCTCTTTATCGGCCTATACATCAGCGAAAAATTATTGCCGACATTCCTATTCGTGTCTCTTATTTTCGTAGTCGTTTCTGGGGGCAGTCTTTAATAAAATGGGGGAATGATGACATTTTCACCCATGCGTACTTAATCGACTTTTACAGTGAGCATCCGCCACGCACCAAACCTCAAGCAGCCGCCGAGTTCGCTGGAGAGGACGGCCTCGCTACCCACCCTGCTCCTTGCGCTTCAGCTCGCGGGGCGACAGCTCGATGGTGGTGCTGAGGCAGCCGTGGAAGCAGTTGTCGACAACGACCACGTCCTGGCGGCTGGTGGCGCCGCGGGCCAGCTGCAGCGAAAGGTCGATTGCCTCCGATCTGTCCGGGACACAGAGCATGTCACCGAGCGGTGCAAGGCGGCAGTGCGTTTCTTTGAAAGGCACGTGCTCGTTAGGTGTTTCTTTGGAAGGTATGTAGCCATTATCGTTATGAAATTCTTCCGTGGATCGCCGGCCGTTTCGACGCTCAGTGGCCGTGGCCGTCTGTCGGGGATCCAACATGGGGCTACACGAGGGGGTCCGAAGTTCTCTCAACAGAACATGGGGCTACACGTGGGGTCCGAAGTCCTCTCAACAGAACATGGGGCTACGCGTGGGGGTCCGAAGTTCTCTCAACAGAACATGGGGCTACACGTGGGGTCCGAAGTCCTCTCAACAGAACTATTTAGCCAGAGGCGAAAACCCTGCAGCTGGGCTGTGTTGATGGAATTTTTAATTACAAGTAACATAACATTCGGCGAAAGGTTGCCATTAGGAAGAGGGGGAGGGGGGGGGGGGGAATGCCGGGGAAGAACTAACTTATAAAGAGTACAGTGGCTGGAACGCGTAGCCATTTTCCGCTATTGTTTATCCAAACCCGAGTTCAAGGGGACAGCGGTTAAAACTTGAAAGAGAAGCGGGGCAGTGTTTGCCGAGAGCGGCGCTTGGGCGAAGAGGACTCAAACCATACGGAATTAGGTACAGGGATGTCTTAAATCTAATCTTGGGGATGAATAGGCTGGTGCATAAAACTTGAGCATGGGTGGGGGCAGCAGCTGTTACAACCGGGCTTCAGGCAGCAACGAAGAAGGTACGAGAGTGTGGGAGAGCGCGGGAGTGTAACCAGCTGCATTCCTCTCGCCCTCACGCTGTCAGTGCTCTCACCCGGTAGACGTGAAGAGGGCCGTGTCAAAGCCTGCCGGGCATGTGGCCAGCAGCCGGCCCGGGTACTCGGCCAGGTCAGAGGTCAGCGAGAGGTCACGGAAGGCCGTGAACAGCGAGCCGACGTGACTACGGGAAGCAGCCACCAGCGCCGGGTGACAGTGGCCCACTGTGGGATGGCGGGGGCGGGGTCAGAGATCAGGCGCCGAAGAACGATCGACAGAGACTCACCGCAAGGGGGGGGGGGGGGGGGGCGTGCTCGTTTAACACGTGGAGCCCGAAAGGCTCGCGGACGACACACAATGGAGACAGGAACAGAGACACGGAAGTACGCATGGAACATGAAAACATTTCTTTGTGGAGAGATCACCCCGAAGATCACGTCGGGCACTTATAAAAGGCTGGCTAGTTAAGAAGTCCGTTTGATAGCATACAAAACGCACGTATTAAGCCAAAAATAGCAAGCCAACACACCCCAAAACCCATGTCATCACACTTAACGGACTGGTAAGACTGTCGAGCTCGTTTTGAGGTGGGCATGCTGGTGATTACGTAAGGCAGTTTTTTTAGCTTTTCGGCTTTAGTGGGCCAGAATTCTAGTCACCTTGGAGCTTGGCGCTTTTCTCCACCAGTTAAAGCGGAAAATTTAGGTGTAAAAGTTAGCACACTGGAACGGCATTCCACAGATCCGGGTTCCAGTCCTGATAGGTGGACCCCAATTTTTCAGCACTGTCTGCCTGATTATATCGCCAAGCTGCAGAGCGGCTAGAGAATTCTAACCCAACAGAGCTGGACTAGCTGAAAAACAGCTTAACACAATGTTTAAAAAAAACGTTATAAATGTCGAGTATTGTCGTTTGGAATAAAACATTAATAATGGTGTCACTGTCTTGAGGAGGTTGGCTAAACAAACCACGTGCTCATAAAACAAGAAGCCTCGCCAGGCTCGGTTTTTACACGTGGGAGTAATAGACGCGAGGTCTTGCGATCATTACGAAATCAAAGGCGTCGGTCTGAAGCTATGGCCAAGGAAGCGTGAAGTTAGTCTGAAGTTATGGCTAAGTCAGCGTGAAGTTAGTCTGAAGTCTGGCGAATTGAAGTCATCGGTGAGTTGAGTTTTGCGCATCAAGCTGAGGTGATGAAGTTCGTAAAGCTGGCTTGCCGTGGAGCAACGCAGGCCATCTCGCACGCGCGCTTGATATCACGCGCATGCAAAGTTGAGCGTTTTTAACGCCTTACGCATTTCTCTGCGAGCCACCATTGTAGCCAGCCAGCCGCTGACGGACCGGTGAGATGACCAGACCGCTAACGAGCATTACGTTGACGCCGACGGACCGGTGAGATGACCAGACCGCTAACGAACATTACGCTGACACTGACGGAACAGTGAGATGACCAGGCCGCTAACAAGGACTGATAACGCAGGACGGGGGGGGGGGGAGAGGAGGGGGGGGGGGGGAGTAATGACGCACGCGGGTCGGCCCGACAAGAATTCCATTGACTTTTGTTTCACAGGATACAGCGACCTTCTGTTGGAGGCGATGGCGGAGGGGAAAGTCCCAGCCCATCACGCACGAGCGTACGCTGTTTTGCTCTAATATGAGATCGGGGCAGGCAGGATTGTGGGCGTGGTATTGGATAGGGCGGATGGGGTGTCGTCGGACAGGAACGCAGCTCGAAACAGTGCTGCGATCAGAAACTCGAAAGGTGTTTGATTTTTTTGGATACGCTCGAACGATTCGGAGACGCAATCCCATGTCGTTGATTATCAAAATGGTGGTAGCTTACTCGAAATGACACATCACAAGCATGCGATGTTCAGGCAGAAAAAAAAAACGACACGTGGCACAGATATCGGAGTCAAACAGGCCAGAATGATGTGGTGTGAGTTCGCGTGGCATAAGACTTTGAAGCACACAGCTGCACTTCCTGCGCGTGATACACAGGTGCTGACTCCGTTAAAATCCACATTCCGAATTGATTTCACAGATGCATTAGACACGGACGCGCACACGTCAATGAAAAAGCAACAGCAAGGAAGCTTGACCCTTGCTTTGAAAAACAATTTCTTCGAACTCTGGCTGTCACTCAAGCCTGAACAAATACGAGTCAGACAAGGATTTATAATTATGCAAATCTAGGACTCGGATTCAGATTCACGAGCTATAACGACGAACGACTAGAACTCGTTATCTTATCCCCACAAAAAACAACGAACTCGGGGATGAAACTCGAGACATAAGGACTCCGAAGCATACTCAGAACTGCGACAGGTACTCAAAATTGTGCCACATATTCCGGTGTTTGAGATCCACGCATAATACGGCGCGTTTTTCATTATCAAAATGTCCTGATATAGTGATTACGTCCATTTTCCGTTATCAAAGAAACTCATGTCTGCACTGCTCGCCATTTAAACAGTTGCAGTATGCAACTGCACATCTGATGCAAAGCACATTTTAACAACTTTTAAGACCAGATTGATCTATGTAATTTATTCCCAGTGTTAGTGCAGCAGCACCGGTGCTGGAGCGCGACACATAGTGCCAGCGGGCCTTGCGGGTGATTTATGCAACCCACAGCCGACGGACGCGAACATTACCGGGCAGCTGAAGCACCAGGACACAACTCTGGACGGCATATCCACATCACAAACATTCACCCGCACTGAACAATGTCAAGTTTGTTTGAAATACGAGCATCGGGATAGAGTGGCTCCCAACATGTGGTCACATCGTGCGCATGCAAGGATCAGTGGGCGCGCCGAAACGGTCTGAAGTGCTCGACCCGCCCCTCTGCAGCTCGGCGCGTGTTACGTAACCCGAGTCTGCTCAGTCGCATCTTACGTCACAAAGGCCTCGAGCCCGTGCTACCATAAACCAGCAGCCTTGATCCATTCGTTGAGCACAAGCTCTCAGTAGCCCCCTCCCCCCCCCCCCCCCCCCATCGCCAAAGCTGCGTGCTCAGCCGGTACACGCCCGCCAGCTTGGAGGACTCACTCCCCGTCTAGATTATGACTTACGACCGATACCGCTGGAAAGACCACACGTAAGGCTGTCGTAAACCCAGAACATTGTGTCTGGTAGGTCACATGCTTGCATACAACCGCGATCGGCTGGGACGTATCTCCCTCCCGCTGCGGCATCCCCCGCCAGGAACATACGTCATCAGTTCGAAAGCACCGGCGGTCGGTACCAGGTCAGTACCGGTGGTACGTGGCGGTGCCGAGGCCGGCAGTACCTCAGACTTCACCGGTACGTAACCAGCAAATGCTGGCCGGTACTGAACGCATTCGAGGCTGGTGCCAGCGTTGGTGCCAAGGCGGTCACACTGGCTATTCGTCGGAGCCTCCGCACCTGTCTGCCGGCCAACTGGACGAGCCGGTACGGCGCCAGCATCAAAGCTTTTACATCTGGCATCGCTTCTGGGGATGTCCGCAGCCTGTGACACCAATGGCGACCCCAAGACTCGTCTCACTTCTATATCCCGGCGTTCCGTAGTGCTGCAGACCCCCCAACGCATTATCTCTAAATCCTGAACCTGATCCGTTCGATTCAAATGCCGTGTTTTTCCGTTCGTATATATATATATATATATATATATATATATATATATATATATATATATACATATATAATCTAATTATTTCAAGCCGTGGTGCCGGGTAGATTGGAATTCAACACTACCTGTGAATTAGTGAAGCCCTTCGAAAGTCGCATGACAGCCGAGTATGGCGCCTGGCCAATCAGATAACGAATCGCTTTGTTGACCTTCCACGCCCACTGATTTGCTCCTAATGTGTGATGGCTGAAACCCGTTTTGTTTGGGCTCAGTGGAATGCTTACTTTATTTTCTGTTTCTTAAACGCCTTTGGTTTGCACATGGCCTAAAGGCCATAATGCATCACCACCAAAACAGCATATGGTGGTATCACTTCTGAGTAGGCGCAACAAAAGACGCGAGTTCCCTGTTGCCATGGTAACTCGCAACGGCGAAGCAATCACCGAACCCTGTCAGCGACGGTAAATCCCGAATATCACAGCAATGCCATATCTAATGAGCTACGGTGGAGACTTTTCCTGCTGCCGTATGAAAATGTACCACACTATGTGTGTCGATGTCTCAAGATAATTGGTGGGTGCGGCGGGGGGGGGGGGGGTCAAGCCTTGGAAGTATTTTATGGGACAAGTACCAAAAGCTTCTCGGACAAAGTTGGATATAGTCCACTTGTATTCTGGTTTCTGGATATCCGTGATATACATATACACACACATGTATATATATATATATATATATATATATATATATATATATATATATATATGCCGCAGCAATCACATGGCTCTTTGTACCAGCTCCGTATAAGCCCACGTGTTTTGCGAACCTGATGGGGTGCGGTTGCACCTCTTCCTCTCTCTTGCATAATGAAACGTGAAATTTGCGCACAATTTAAGATTCCGTTCATCTGTAAGTGTTTAGTGCATATAAGCATGCATTCAAAATAAGAATGTCCACAACATAGCCGGCATTGCTTCTCGTTTACATAAAGCTTTTCGACATGCCAAAAGTGCAGTCGATGAAACATGTGCATTTCAGTTTACGTAAAACAAAACATAAGCACCGATCCACACATTTCCAGTCCTCCACGCATTTCAGAAAAGGGCTTGTAACCTTTTTCCAAAGCGCATAGGCACATGCCCTCCACTTGATCTTTACCCTTCCCCGCTCACTTGAGCAAACACGCAGCGCGAGCCAGCTGTACTGTAAGCCACCATTCCAAGCTGTTGTGCCGCTGAAGGAAAAGCGACCCTAACCTGCCTTAATACGAATGTATGGTAGTTGCCACGGCCATGTCAGTGTCACGCGCAACGCAGGTTGATTGTAAAAGAGCTGCTAGTTGAATGGCTCCCCACGGACCATGTTCGTATGGGAAGATTCAACCGTTGTTCAGAACCGAGTAGTGAAACAATTACGTAAGGTAGCTTTGGGGACGCGAGCGCTCGTACCTTAGAACAAAAACCCCGATATTCTCCGCTGCAGCCTGCGTAGGCGGCGCGGCTTCGGCCCCTGCTGATTGGCGGTGGCCGGTGAGCGGACGAAAACGGCAGCGTTTCGGAAGTAAATACCTTTGAACGCTTCAACAAGACCATTCGGGCGCATAAGAGGTAGTCCGGGAGCAGTTTCCACCTGCGCAATTTATGCATTATATATACATACACACATTTTGTATATATATATATATATATATATATATATATATATATATATATATATATATATGAATTTATATGTAGAAATAGGACCGGATCAGCGCTCACAGGACTCCGAACCGGTGCCGAAAGTTGGAGGTGGAACTAGACAAGCAAATACAAAATATATCCCTTCTTGTTGCTGGCGCTCTTTTTCTGCTCAAAGGACATCTTCACAATTCTGGATGAAATATTTACACCCGTCTAATTTTTGAAAGGTATGAATTCATTTTGAAAGACTTTCGGGGGCATTCCTTCAGGACGGCTGTTCTCGCGCGTCAGGCGTGCGCCGCCCGGTGTTGGCCGCCAACGCCGCTCGGTTTGACGGAAACGGGGTTTGATGGAAACGGCAAACTCGGCCATCGGTGTTCCTGCTTCTATGACTGCGAGCACGCAGGCTGAAACGGCTGGTGCAGGCTGAGCACGCAGGAAGCGCAGCTGCCACATGTGCAGTAACCACGTCCATGACGTCACGTGACAAGGCTTCCACTGCTACATTCCATTTAACTATTGCGTAGACACCATAGACCGTCAGGCCTAGAAAGCGACAGAATATCCATAAACATGCTATTAAAAGCTCCTTGGTTGCGTGCACGTGACTAAACTGTTACTGCAAGGACTGCAAAAGCTAGCCCACAGCTCAAGTCGTGAATTAAACTGATGACGATTAAGACACCTTTAGGGCAGTGTGGCAAGGTTGAACGGTCCGACGTAGGCACCTTCAAATGCTCTCACCAGTGATTTGCACTTCAGTTTGCACTGCTGATAATACTAAGAGCACGCGCTACAAATACTTACGGGCGAGCCCTAACAGGGGTCAAGAGACTATCAGGATGATAGGAATTTCGGCAGGCATAATCGAGTGTTTTTTCAACGGTTTAGATTACAAGAACGTGAAGAGGGTCGACAAGAGCTAAGAAACGGAAAGCATGAGTTTAACCCCCATATTCACGTCGCACGATAACTTTTCTATGCTGTTCGTAATGCTGTTTACTTTTTCACGTGGCACGATAACTGCAGACACGTACTAAGAGCACGCGCTTTATTGCACGAGCAACTCACTTTATTGCACATACGTTTAAAAGCCTACCGCATGGTTTATTGGCCGTGAAAACGATCGGCCGACGCGTTTTCGCATGTCCACGTTTTCATTCGCTTGGGACAAGAGCCCTTTCGGCCAGTAAACCCTTGTCTTGGGCCTGTGGGATGAAAAAAGGAGAGCAGTGCGGCGAGGTCGCATGCATCTGGGAGTTTTCCGTAATCCGGACCTACCCGCACCGGGCCCCTCTTTGTTGCATGTGTGGCACTTTGGCAGAGTTTCGGCCAGGAGCCAGTTAAGCCCGCTCATGGCTGGGGCATGCAGATCGCCCCCGATAATCGGAGCGTGGCGGGGATGAAGGGTGAGGGCGCGACTGAGAGAAGAACAGCGGGTGGTCCATGATCCTAAGCGACTGGGCCTCTCACACGAACCAAGATCGCAATAGATCAAAGCTCTTCTGAGCATCCTAACCACAACAAACCAAAATCATCAACAAGCAGCCTAGTTATTTTTGTTCCGCTTGGGATAAGCACGAGGATAAACACGACGGTAAGAACACCGCACATAGGTCTGATGCGGGCCAGTCAGAGATGCTGTGCTCACCGTGCGACACACTACCTGCGCAGTCGATGTACTCGTTTCCCCTGTCGTCGTACAGGTATTGGAACTTGGCACTGGACAGCCGCAGCGGCGCCTTGTCGTAGTGAAGCAAACACGTGCTTCTGTGGGTTACCGAGAGATGGCGCTAGCTCAGTAATGTCCGAAGACAAAAGCTCTGGTGCAGCGGTTTAACGCTTGTTTTTATCACTGGCCGACGGAAGCACTTGTTACGAGCTTTCCGCCGACACGCAGGCATCAAACAGTGCTAGACATCCAGGAGACCAGCGGAGAAGAACCACGTTTTGTCATGCCGACCAATGTTTCCCTGAGGTTTGTGATAAATTTCAAACGCGTTGCGCACGTTTTTCAAATTCCAAACGCGTTACGCAAATTTCGAGCAACATAACGTCATGCTAAAATGTTTAAGCGCTCGTCACCCTTCTTGTTCCTGAAGCATGGGATTTTCGTCATTGAATTAAACAGCCGTGTTTCGGGGGGGGGGGGGGGAGGGACATTCCGAATGCGAACTAGCTCATTGGAAGGTTTTTAGTGCGTTTTGTATTATTATTATTATTATTGTCATTATTCTTGTTAATTTTTTTTTTGTTGTTGCTGTTGTTGTTATTGGCTTAACGTCTTCCTGCGCCATTCTTCCACTAACGGCCGAGATAAACGGAAACTTTAAATTTTTAACGAAACGCTTAACACAGATATCCCGCTCATGAGCCGTACCAGACATAATCACAGATACAGAAAAGTGCGCACAACTTTAATGACCGCCACTGGATGTCGCCAGCAGCGCCCCGACCTTTCGAGGTGGTCAGCGGAGTCGCGCCATTCACCAAAGCCAAAGCCAAAGTTACGACTAGATGCCGGCAAGGCGCAAAAGTGTATCACGGGCGGCAGCAAGATATCTTAGACCGAAGCGACTGCGTAGAGTTGGCGGCGGAGAGATCTCCAGGTACTCCGCGACGCAAAACAGGTGCGGTGATTTCGTCGCAGATTTATGGCCGTCAGCCCGCGACACATCGGGCGTGATAATTCACTCAGAAACCTATCAAGCGGAGTATGAAAGTCGCAGTGGAATACCAAAGAGGGTTCATTAAGACTCATCACGCAAGCCAGGGTTGCTTAGCGCTGGTTGCAGCCAGAAAGTAACCTCTCAGCACAGCAAGCACGCACCCGCCGGCAAGGTAGACCCAATTATGGCTACCTCATCACGCAATTCGTTCCGAAGTTGAGGCACAGTTAGCAGGTTGCCGCGCAGTTCAGTGATTTGTTTGGAAGCAGCAACGTGTCAACCACCAAAGCTGATTCCATCGGTCCCCAGGGCCCGATAAACCCAGACAACTTTCACCGCCGTTGACGAACATGGCTGGCGCACGCAGGGGAGGGGGGAGGAAGTTGACCTCTTACATCTTAGTTAAGGTAACCCTAGGCCAGGCCAGGTGTCAAAACACCGCCGTGAACTATAAATGGTCCTCGGCCACACCCAGTATCAAAACACCACCGTTAACAGTAAATGGCCTTAGGCCAGACCAGATATCAAAACTCCACCGTGAACTATAAATGGGCCTAGGCCAGACCCGGTATCAAAACACCACCGTGAACTATAAGTAGCCTTAAGTCAGACCAGGCATCAAAACACTACCGTTAACTATAAATGGGCCTGGGCCAGACCAGGCACCAAAACACCACCGTTACCTATAAACGTCAGCACGTTCTCGTGGTGGCTGATTCAGCAAAAAGGCCTTCTGGGGCGGGAGTCGAAGGCGGACCTCCCGCTCCAGAAGCCGACGACCTGAGCTCACTCACGGCAGGTTTGAGCGTCGGATGGAGAAGTTCTCTTCGGCCGAGATCTGCTCTTTGGACGATGACGTCACTGGTTCCATCTCGGCCGCTACGGCGCGCATGTAGCTGGCCGACTCCTGCATCCTGCAAAGGCGTATAAAGGCGTATAAAAAGGCGTAAGGCTTACCAAAGGCGTATAAAACATCAGACAACATGTGCTTTTACGACCCCCTCGCAAGGGACCCTAGAGCGAAGACACGACGCACTCCGTTTATCCCACGAGTTGAGAGATCCGACCGCACCTCCCACGGCCGGCGCCCAGCGAACAGCTGCAGACCAGCGCCCAGCGGACAGCTGCAGACCAGCGCCCAGCGGACAGCTGCAGACCAGCGCCTAGCGGACAGCTACAGACCAGCGCCCATCGAACGGCCGCAGACCAGCGCCCAGCGGACCGCTACAGACCAGCGCCCATCGAACAGCTGCAGACAAACGCTCAGCGGGCAGCTACAGACCAGCGCCCAGCGGACAGCTACAGACCAGCGCATATCGAACAGCTGCAGACCAGCGCCCAGCGGACAGCTACAGACTTTTCTGAGGCCGGCACCCAGTGGAGAGCTGCAGACTTCTCCGAGGCCGGAGCGCGCCGGGTACGAGAAGGACTGCAGAAGCCCGACCACCGCGGAGAATCACCCCTGAGGATCCTCGGAATCTGGAAACACTTCGCCGGTATGACATAGCTGAGTCGGCTCGGCTTCTGGGGAGGTCGACCGAGTCGCGGCCACACAATCCGCCCAGTAGCGACAGCGCTCATTGGAACATAGCGCATGCCGGCCTGACCCGAAACCGCCGTAAAGCCGTCGTTTGGGAGATCGTTGGAGGCCGTCGTTCGGGCTTTCCAACGATAGAGACTGATGACAGCGAGAACCGAGCACTGAGCGAGAGGAGAAACATGGGAGTACACCTAGTCCACCGAACCTCCACTGAGCGCCTGAACAGTCCACGTGAACCGTTCATCCGGCCCGTCCACACAACGCGAACTGTTCACCGGTCCTGCCGCCCACCGGTTGGCCTGACCTATTGCCCTGGCGTACCTGCTCACTTATCTGACCTGTTCGCATGCGCTGTCCGCGTGGCCCATCATCACGAGCTACCCACATGCCCTGTCCACCTGACCTGCCCACCTGGCCTGTACACATGCCCTGTCCACCTGACCTGCCCACCCGTGCTTTTAACCGCACCTGTTCACCTAGTCATTCCTCTGGCCTGTCCCCCTGACATATGCGCCTCCGATGCCCAATGTCTAATGTTACAGTGCCCAATGCAGACCAGACTGACCACATGACCTGTTCACCTGACCTGTTTACCTGACCTGTCCACCTGACCTGCCCACCTGACCTGCTCACCTGACCTGTCCACGCGATCTGTCCACGTGACCTGCCCACCTGACCCGTCCGCCTGTACTGCCCCTTGACAGGAACTTAACAGTTCGACAGGCCGCCCGCCCTTTCTTGCGTGTCAACAAAGCGGGCGAGGAGAGGTCGCCAGGACCTGAAGCCGTCTTAGCCAGTTCGCATTCGATGTAGCACCAGTGCCTAGGCTTGTGTTCCGCCTGGTTTATCTGATTGTGGTGCAACACATGCATTACAGGATGCATCATGACAGGAACCGGTCCTCCGTAGCGCCACACAGCAACCAACCCGTATTTGTCGGGGAGTGGCTGTTGGGTCGAGTTCAAAGCAAGCCGCATTGAAGCGTTGTCGTTCGACGCTGCCCACCTTGCCACTGAGTACTGTGAAATGCTTCAGACTGCGTGCTAACTCGCATGCCAAATCAGGGATTTTCTGAGAAGAACGCTGTACTCCGCAGGCGGGATGCTGGTAGCTGTCGTGTCGACCCGCGGTGAATGCTGCAGTCCTCCGCTGCCTGCTGGTCACCCAAACAGCAGGCATCAGCGACCACTGCTTCACAGCGCTGCTACGGTTTGAACTACGGTTTGAAAGGCCATTCTAAATCCCAGAGTCACGCCACAGTCCCAAAGCGGAGGCGCGCTGGCCGCCGCGGCAGCGCTGCCACGGGTCTGGCGCTGGCGCCGCCGTGCTGGCGCTGCCGTGCTGGCGCTGCCGTGCTGGCGCTGCCGTGCTGGTGCCGCCGTACTGGTGCTACCGTACTGGTGTTGCCGTGATGGCGCTGCCGTGCTGGTGCTACCGTGCTGATGCTACCGTGCTGGCGCTGCCGCGCTGGTGCTACCGTGCTGGCGCTACTGTTACACTCAGAGCAGTGGGGGCCAGGGACAGCACGCCTCACGACCATGCGGCCACACGCCGCGCCTGCGTGGGGCTGCGCAGAACGCATGCGTGCGACGTGTGGATGCATGGCATCGGGCGACTCCAGCCATCGGGCCTGTTACGGCTGGTGCCGCAGAGGATGGGAGGCTGATGGGCGCGGAGAAAACGGACACGGCGAGCAGAGGCCTGTGCGACCACACGAACACGTTGGTGCTCGCGTTACATTTCTGCCAATGTTTTCCGGCGTTCCGACGGACACTTCGCTGCTCGTTATCACGGCAAACGCGCGGGTTCTTTGACGGCAGGCTGACCACGAATGCTTTCACCCGCTGCCTGGTTTAGCATCTCACGAATGGATTCCTTCGTAAAGCCACCTCAAGACGGAATGCAAAAAAACGAACGTCAAAACAAGCAGAAGATGTCTGCTGTCCCTAGAGCGACCAACCGCGAGGTGTAATGGAGTGGGGTGAGACGTCGTTCCGCCACTCACTCCCGAGCGCAAAACTTCACAACCGGTCTGCAATAGCTAAAGGTGAGATGTCAAGCAAAGCACACCACCAACTTCGCCCGCCGCTGAGGTGCTCCGTCCCCGCCCCTGGAACAAGTCATGGTGCTCCACCACTGAGCTGCTCCGCCCTCCCCCCCCCCCTCCCCGTCCCTGGGGACAAGTCATGGCCCACCACCGCTGAGCTGCTCCGCCCCATCCTTGGACCAAGTCATGCGCTTTCCACCGCAGACGTCGCGACAAAAATCGCCGCTGAAAAGAGCGGCACGCAGCACGACACGCTCAGCCCCATAGCAGCGGCTCGTAACAGCGTGGCGCTGGCTCGCAACAGCCTGGGGCCGGCTCGCACAGCCTGGGACCGGCTCGTAACAGCCCGCGGCTGGCTCGTAACAGCCTGGGGCCGGCTCGTAACAGCCTGGGGCCGGCTCGCAGCAGCCTGGAGCAGGCTCGTAACAGCCTGCAGCGGCTCGTAACAGCGTGGCGCTGGCTCGCAACAGCCTGGGGCCGGCTCGCACAGCCTGGGACCGGCTCGTAACAGCCCGCGACTGGCTCGTAACAGCCTGGGGCCGGCTCGTAACAGCCTGGGGCCGGCTCGCAGCAGCCTGGAGCAGGCTCGTAACAGCCTGCAGCGGCTCGTAACAGCGTGGCGCTGGCTCGTAACAGCCTGGAGCTGACTCGCAACAACCTGGAACTGACTCGTAACAGCCTGGAGCCGGCCAGTGTACGAACCTCGTCCGACCGGGGAATGCGCCGTCGCAAAGGAACCGCCGTTAGCGAACGTCACGGACAGCTCAGTTTATCGCGACCAGATCGGCACGACATGGGACGGGCGCAGGCGTGCTGCACCTGGTCGATGCGACCCGAGGATCGCTCCAGTGCCGCACAAGCTTATCAGCCCAGTAACCCGCTGCCCCGCTGCAGCGCCCGACTCAGTCCAATGCCTCGATCGGGGAAAACGTGGGCTTCTCCGGGTCGGTTCACTGCTCCCGGATCTGTGCTTTGGATCGGTTCACTGCTCCCGGATCGGTGCTTCGGATCGGTTCACTGCTCCCGGATCAGTGCTTCGGATCGGTTCACTGCTCCCGGATATGTGCTTCGGATCGGTTCACTTCTACCAGATCTGTGCTTCGGATCGGTTCACTGCTCCCGGATCTGTGCTTCGGATCGGTTCACTGCTCCCGGATCTGTGCCTCGGATAGGTTCACTGCTCCCGGATCGGCGCCATGCTCCGTGTGCCGGGTAACCCCGGATTGGTTACGCACCGCTGGTGGCTGCCGCGGGGCGTGCCGGCGAACGGCATTGTGCCGCGGTTGCGTAACAGCGCGACGTTACTCAACGAACAAATGCTCGCCGTTTGCACGTGCGCGCCGTGACGTCATGGCACGCGGCGGTGACGTCAGAGGGGCGAGTGGCCGCTCCGGTCGGCGCCCGCTGGAGGCCGACGTGCTCGGGGACGGAGGGAACCGCGCGTGGGCGAAACATGCGGTCGAGCGGAGGTGGCTGCGGGAAAGAGCCGGCGGCCGGACAACGGGGCTGGACGGCGGTCCCGATCTGGCGGTCTGCAGCCGGGGTCTTCAGCCGGAGGGGGCTGCATGTGACGCGGCCTAAGCCAGGGGGCAGCCCGAGGTCTGCGAGGACTGCAGCGTTCCACGGCGACTTCCAGCTGGGGCAGCGAACCCAGCGTCGGCAGATGATTTATACGGGGTGCAGACGGTCGGAAGGCCGCTCTGTAACTCAGTCTCACCTAGCCCCCGATGTCTAGACGAGGATCACACACGTAGCCGCAAGCCGTCTAAATCGATCCTGAACCTGAAAAAGAACCTGAATGTGCATCTGAACCTTAGCCAAGAACCGTCTGAAGTCGGTGAGGCTGGGCCACACTGCCTCACGTGTTGGAGAAGAGTTCACCGAGAGCCGAGTGGCCGTGAACCGAGCCTTCACCGGCGGAGCCCGGACGTCACGCGCTGGAGGCGAACGGACCGGCCCAAGCCGGTGGCGACTAGCTGCCCGCCCAGCCTCCCCTCAGTCAGCTGAGGTGACAGCCCGCCGGCCACAGCTCGGTCACGCGCCTGCCCGCCGACCGCAGCTCGGCCACGCGCCAGCCCGCCGGCCGCAGCTCTGTCACGCGCCAGCCCGCCAGCCGCAGCTCTGTCACGCGCCAGCCCGCCGACCGCAGCTCGGCCACGCGCCAGCCCGCCGACCGCAGCTCGGCCACGCGCCAGCCCGCCGACCGCAGCTCGGTCACGCGCCAGCCCGCTGACCGCAGCTCGGTCACGCGCCAGCCCGCCGGCCACAGCTCTGTCACGCGCCAGCCCACCGGCCCGCCGGCCGCAGCTCGGTCACCCGCCGCCGTCGACTGCCGGCTGGCTGTTCGTCGAGCTGTTCGGTCTCACGAACGATAGGGGACTGCAAATTGTGGTCGCAGATAAGCCTTTCCGTGGCCGTGCCAGACTCAGCTGTCCTCGTCAACAATGCGGGATTGCACGGAAAGGCCGCATGTTCGGGAATATTGTCGCAATCTTGCGGGGACATATGGGCAACTCAACGTGTTGTTGCATCACATTGCTGCATGGGCACGCTACGTTCTAGGAAAAGTATGCGGTGTACGTCACGACCTGAAGAGGAGGCTGTTTAATACTTGTGACGGAAGGGCGGCATAGAATGACATTCGGAGCGCTTCTTAACAAATTTTTTATGCTGTGGAAAAGAACATGTTGCGACATTTCAGAAAAAAACATCTATAAGCGGAGAAAATCCACCGGATAAGTCCTGTTTTTTTTTTTGCTTAATTCGGCATTGATTCTTCACCCGTTTCACACGTCCGCTGTTTCCGTCCAGCGATAGCTTTGTGAGCATTAGAATGCCGTCACCCTGCTTGAGCTTTGGTGTCGGACATTTGATGACTGTACAAATGGTACGGGCCCTTGCGATAGCAGTTAGTGCCGCATAGTGGCCATCCACGGATCTCACACTGTGATTCGTGGCATTTTCTTGTTCCGACTTTCGATAACAATCTCGCTGCAGCATTAGCTTAGCAATGGCGTTCTCGCGCCTGGCCTGTTTTGGCATGGTGTCGCCCCCCCCCCCCTCAAGTCCTCAAGCGATGTTCTCACCCGGTGGTCTGACTCCCCCAACTCCTCAAAAGATATAGATCACCACCGGTCAAAAAGCCAAAATGTCAAAAATGTTGTCACGATAGCATGCTACTTCATCATGCAGGATAACTGGCCGCGCCGCACGAGATAAAGTTACTAGTATACATGTATGGGTGTATGTAACTCTCTTGTTACCAGCCATCCACACAAATGGATTTTCGTGCCACTGTATCATACATATGACAAACACGCCGATATTATAAACACAACAAATACAACAAGGCTAATGCCGTGGGCCCTACGGGCTCCAGCAGGTTGAAATATCAGGTCGGAAGCCGTCAGTGACGCATGAGGTGTATGTGAAAGCGTATTCCACGATCGCATCGCCCCGTCTCTGCGCTCGAGCCTGGACCCTGGCCGATGCAGTACACCAGCAGTCACGCTTCGCACCAGATAGCATCTGGCCGCGAGTCACGCTTCGCACGGGACAACGCCTGGTCCCGAGTCATACTTCGCACGGGACAAACGCCTGGCCGCGAGTCACGCTTGACACGGGACAACACCTGGTCACGAGTCATGCTTCACACGGGACAACACCTGGTTACGAGTCATGCTTCACACGGGACAACACCTGGTCACGAGTCATGCTTCACACGGGACAACACCTGGCCACGAGTCACGCTTCGCACGGGACAACACCTGGTCACGAGTCATGCTTCGCACGGGAAAACACCTGGTCACGAGTCACGCTTGACACGGGACAACACCTGGCCGCGAGTCCTAAACATGGCTCATGCAAGGACGGGGGCAGTCTCAGTGCACAACGATGGTGATCTTTCACAGGTCTAGTAAGCTCCGGCATTGCTGGTTGAAATGCTGGTCACCAACGGCTGCTGGTGCTGGTGATGACGCGGCCAGCCAAGTTCGGCAACTTTAGAAGCGGCTGAGCGGCTGCTGTGACGTGCCAGTCGATCCAGGCCAGCAGTCCGGTGAGAGAAGGACATTTGCAAGCCAATGGGTGAGGTGGAGCGACTCGGGGTGCAGCGGTAACAGCACTATCTGAGCGGGGCCGGTGGTCGCAGAAGACTTCATCACCACCTAGCCTAAAGTCTTGCCCACGCCAACACCTCATCGGTGATCTCACCCGGCAGTTTGATATACGAAGATGGGTGTGCTTTTCGGCCACAAAAACCGATCTTGAATGGAATTTAGCCAGAAGTGCCGAGTGCCGATGTTGTCATTGACACCAGCTTTCGTACCGATGATGACGGTCATTCTTGTAAGCTACCTCCGTCTCTATTTGGCCAAATGCATCACCTTTCGTCATGATATTGTCCAACTTTGGTGGATTTTGGCATGAGCTCGTTCAACGCCTGTGTAATATGCAAATCAAACAGCGATGCATCATCCAATATATCACCAACCTCCAGCACATTAGGATGTTGGTGAACTTTGTCCAGCACTTATCTAGCAGCCCAATACGTCATTTTTCTACCTCACTTTATTCAGCGCCCATTTCTCTGGGGTTGGGCACCTGACTCCCGTCTCTCGACCCATGTTCAGCGCCGATTTCTCAGGAGGGTGAGCACCTGACTCCCGTCTCTCGGCTCATGTTCAGCGCCGATTCCTCAGTGGGGTGAGCACCTGACTCCCGTCTCTCGGCTCATGTTCAGCACCGATTTCTCAGGAGGGTGAGCACCTGACTCCCGTCTCTCGGCTCATGTTCAGCACCGATTTCTCAGGAGGGTGAGCACCTGACTCCCGTCTCTCGGCTCATGTTTAGAGCCGATTTCTCGGTGGGGTGAGCACCTGACTCCCGTCTCTCGGCTCATGTTCAGCGCCGATTTCTCAGGAGGGTGAGCACCTGACTCCCGTCTCTCGGCTCATGTTTAGAGCCGATTTCTCGGTGGGGTGAGCACCTGACTCCCGTCTCTCGGCCCATGTTCAGCACCGATTTCTCAGGAGGGTGAGCACCTGACTCCCGTCTCTCGGCTCATGTTCAGAGCCGATTTCTCAGTGGGGTGAGCACCTGACTCCCGTCTCTCGGCCCATGTTCAGCGCCGATTCCTCAGTGGGGTGAGCACCTGACTCCCGCCTCTCGGCTCATGTTCGGCGTGCAGATGTATCAGTACGATGGCTGGAGGTGGTGGGACGTCCCTTGTTAAGCTAATCTCTCTGAGAAGCACAACTTGCATCTGTGCATGAACTCCATGGGAAACCACCACGAAATTCCGGACTGTCATCATGCATTCGCCGATCTGACTCAGCACATCGTCCTAACCTCACCTGGCCGCAACTGCACCACGTCACGTCCAGAGGTCACTCGGTTCACTGGGCTTTGAAATATGTACACGTCAAGATTTCATATTTATCCAGCATAATTTAGATTTTTCTATTCATTTTTACTCCTTCCTAAATATCATCATGCTTAGTTCACAACATGTCAGCATCATGGTTCAAGATGTTTCAAAACCCCTGCAAAGGAATGCAAAGTGTGTGAAGAAGTTTCAGTTATTTACGCGCTGTAATGTTCCTCAAACCCATCGAATATTTTGCATCAATAAAATAATGCCTAAAAATCTTGGATTATGAATATTCCGGTACAAGTCCTGATACATACAATATCTTCACACAAAAAGAAAAAAATTCAAAAATCTTCGGGGAGAGAGAGAGAGAGAGAGAGAGAGAGAGAGAGAGAGAGAGAGAGAGAGAGAGAGAGAGAGAGAGAGAGAGAGAGAGAGAGAGAGAGAGAGAGAGAGAGAGAGAGAGAGAGAGAGAGAGAGAGATATATATATATACATATATATATATATATATATATATATATATATATATATATATATATATATATATATATATATATATACAAACACAAAACAACAAGCGAGCACATACCAGATTAAGACAATGACGTCTATGATGACCGGACGTCACCACTTGAGATTAACGACAATAGCGTTTTCTAAAGTGATGTCACTCCCATGGTGGCGGACGCAAGGATCACGCTGCGTGGCGACCGCACGGCAACAGTCCAACAGTACAGGGGTCAGTTCAGAGGCGGTGTGACGTCAGAGGCGCCGAGTGACGGCTCCTCCCCGACGCGCAGCCCGACAGACACGGCTCCTCCGAGACGTCGAACCCGACAGACACGGCTCCTCCGATGCGTCCAGCCCGGCATACACGGCTCCTCCCAGGCGTCCAGCCCGACAGACACGGCTCCTCCAAGACGTCCAACCCGACAGACACGGCTCCTCCGAGCTGTCCAGCCCGGCAAACACGACTCCTCCGAGGCGTCCAACCCGGCATACACGGCTCCTCCCAGGCGTCCAGCCCGACAGACACGACTCCTCCGAGGCGTCCAGCCCGACAGACACGGCTCCTCCGAGACGTCCAGCCCGGCAAACATGGTTCCTCCGAGGCCGCACCTGCTGTGCCGTACCGCTGACGGCTCAGACAGGGAGCGTGACCTGGCCAGTGTGTGCCACTGACCTGGCCAGTGTGCGCTACTGACCTGGCCACTGTGCGCCACTGACCTGGCCACTGTGCGCCGCTGACCTGGTCACTGTGAGCCGCTGACCTGGCCAGTGTGCGCCACTGCCTTGGCCAGTGTGCTCCACTGACCTAACCATTATGCATCAACGGTCGTCCACTGTGTCCTACTGGCCTGGCCACTGTGTGCCAGGGAGCGTGGCCTCTGAGCGAGGCACTTCGCTAACCAGTAATGCTCAGACATGACCCCAGACTGAATCCGCGTCCCAATGCATTGCCATCGATCAACACCTGCACTGTAGCGATCGGCGCCGATGCGTGGAGATTGCGGAGGGCGTCCTCACATTGCTTCCCAGGCCCGTCGCCTCCGCCGCCCCCGCCGCCGCCTCTCCGGACCTGGCTGGCACCCGGCGCGCGAGCCTCACGTCTGTATGAGACGGGGATCCCCCATCACAGCACACCCTCACCGCAAGCCTGGCCGGCTGTAGCGGGGATCCCCCCTGGGCTCCACGGCCGGGATCAGCTGGGCAGCGACAGCACACTAGCGTCCCGCCGGCGGTCGCGCCAATCTCGCGGGCGTGGTCCGCACCTGGTCGACGGGGCACCGATCGTGACTGCTCGGCGGGCGCGGCCTCGCTCCCGATGGCAGAAGCCGTCCGTGGTTCGTGGAATCATGTCTCTTGTCCGTTGAGCGACATATGCTCGCCCCGTGCAGAGTGCCGGGAAGGATTATCTGGGCGGCATGAGACCGGTCGATTTTATCATAGCAGTGTTAGGAATGGCAAACCTATGCGGTGAGTGATGGTATCGGACTAGCAGGGACGTCAGCGTCGGGCAGAAAAGCTCTTGCGGTGAGCAGTAACATAGTTTTTGAAGCCATGAGTTCGCTGCTTTAAGTGTTGGAAACGGACCGTACTATTCGACCGTTGTAGCATGATATACGGGTGAATGCAAGACAGATCCGCGACAAAGCCATGCGAAGCCACCACCATTGGCGGGTATGGCAAAAAGGTTATTCACTTTAGCTTCACGACGCCTTGAATCATCTACTGTAAGAGTTTGCCGCGCTGCATTACGCTAAGCCAAAGCCAGGTCACAGCACACCTCCCAACGAAGCCTCTCTCAGGGCACAGAGACAACAGTCCTCAACACCACACCTGGTTCACCACAGGTGTTCCGCTGCGCGGGTGTCGGCACATTGAGCCCTCGCGGCTGGGAGTGAGCTTCTGGGGCTCAAAGTTTAGCTCTCCGACCCAAAGTCGGCACCACTCATGTGGACCCTACGAACGCGCCACGGCGTGAGGTTCGGCTCTGCAGACTCTATCAGACGCTGCATGGGATCACGGGCGGATCCAGGAGGGAGAGCAGGGGGGACCAAGGCAACGGGGCGGAGTCGGGACCTCAGGGCGGCGAAAAGAACAGGTTTTTTCCGTCTAAGGCTGCCGTGAAGAACATGGGTACACACACCCCCATGTTAGTGTGCTTGGCCTACCCGTGGACGGCGTTGGGTTCACTGCAAACATACCGCGTGGCGAGCACTTTCAAACAAGCGGGCGACGAGTGGGGTATCCCTGCTGACCTGAACTGCACGGTTACCGTGCACACGTCATCTATAGTACGCCATGGCGCTTTCACCCATATCTAAACATAGCGGACGCGCACTGGGAAACGAGACCGTATTAAGGGTCATACTGCAAGCACGCTCGCTACTGCATCATTATAAACTTGGCAAGAACGTCGTCATGAATATCGCAGCCATTTCTCACCCAGTTCATAGGTGATCATGTCGGCAGCACTGACACCCTTGGGCATGTGCGTCAACATCTTGCGCGACACATCCGGGCCTGAGCGGCGATCCCCTGGCGCGAGGGGATGCGCCCTTGCCCTGAGCTTCAGGGCAGCGTGGGGTTTTGCACGTCAGCCTTCCTGATGCACCTAAGGTGCCTCAGACGTCCGCCCAGCGGTGTAGCTAGCGTACACAGGGGCAGTGGTGTCATGCGGCGCACACGGCACTCTGGGCCCTTCCAGCAACTCGCGAGGGTTCTTAACCTGATCAACCCTGATCAAATCCGGACAGAACTGTATAAACTCGTGGTAGTTCTCTGTAGCTCACTGTTCGGTGCAATCCGCGGAGTGCTTGCTGAATGTACGCGCTTGACTGGTGTGCGTCTCGGTCGACTGCCCCGCTCGGGACACCCGTCCCGGGAGGGGGGGAGGGGTACCTGCAGCCGCGCGGCCGCGATGGCACCTCCGGCCAAGGCCGGGGTCGGATGGCCGGCGGGGGTCGGGTGTTCGGCGCCGGCCGCAGGCGCCGTCGGGCGGGGCGGGAGGCGCGGCCGGCATGTAAGCGTGCGGCAACACAGGCGACGACGTCTTCGGCGTTGAATCGGTCTCAAAGAGCTATACTGGATGTGCCGAAGCGCCGGGAAGTGACGATGTGAGACGACGACGACGATGTGACGATGTGACGGCGATGTTTTGTGATGACATGACGGTGACGAAGTGACGACGACGAAGTGATGCTGAGAGCGAGATTTGGGATCGCGGTGGACGAGGCGCAGCCAAGAGCGGACCCCGGCAGAGAAGAGAGAGGGGTTTGATCAGAGATCCATTCCGGGATACGACAGAACCATTAACATTGTGGATGGTTAGAGCGGGCCACGCTGCCATGCGGCCTGCGCAAGGTGTCCCCCATTGCAGTGTTGCCCGCCCGGCTGCACGGTGGAGTGTATGCTGTTTTGGTCTCGAATGCCCGGCCAGGCTTCGTAACGCCTTCGGAGTGTGAAGAAGCGGCGTTTGCGAGCCTTTACCCCGGATCCATTCACAGCGAGGTCAGCTGAGCCGGCGCCAACTGCAGCAGTTAGCGGAGCTGGTGGGAGGCGTTCCAGAAAAGGCGTTGACGACCATCTTCGTCACTAGATTGCCGAAGACCGTCTCATTCACTGAGCGTGAAGCGGTGGGAGTGGGTGGGGTGTTTGATGTCGACCGCATTTTAAGCCATGCACGCACGGTACTGCCTCGGGAGCGCGCGGCGAGTCCGGTGGGAAAATCCAATGCGGTTGCTGCTATTTGGGGACCGGCGGTCGGAAGAGGAGGAAGAAATGGAGACCGTCGACCTCAGCGACGGATGGGAGAAGCGCCGAATCGACTTCAGCGACCGGCAACCGGGCGCAACTCGGGCACTAGAGTAACCGTGACTGTCAGTCCATGTTCCTCCACGAGCTGCTGAATCATAGCCTCTCTCCGTTTAATCAGCATTTCGGACTGCGCCATGGTTCTTAGCAAATACTTTCTCTGACAGCTGACAGCTTCACCTACAGCGCGTCGCCTGACCAACGCCTCACCGACAGTGCGTCGTCTAACCAACGCTTCACCGACAGCGCGTCGTCTCACCAACGCTTCACCGACAGTGCGTAGTCTGACCAACGCTTCACCGACGGTGTTTCGTCTAACCAACGCTTCATCAAATCTGTCCTCAGTTCCACCCGGACAAAAACTCAAGTCAACGCCACGTTAACGCCGTTGATAGCCCTGTCCATCCAGACATATTGATGCACATGCCTGAGTCGAAGTCCG